GGAGGAGGCAGGTGAGTGCCCCAAATCTGTGGTCTTGGAGCGTGACAAGGTCCTATTGTGTTGGAACTCATGTCAGCATTGGCTGCCACACATTGTTTTTGTCAGGTTCCTGTTATTCTGAGCCTGCTATGTCTTTTTAGGGCTGTCTACCTGCCTACTTACCTGCTGTTTCCATGTATGTCTTCCACTGTTTCAATTTGTGTCAGGGTCAGCCCTGGGAGTTTTGTGTTTGTGTGGCCCAGGATCTGTGGATTGTATGTCCCCTGTCACCCTAGAGAAGTGGATGGAGTCTTTTGGTGCTGTTCTTGGGTCTGCATGTCCCCGTTGGCAAGTGTGTTGTTGGAGGCATGCATGGCATTGCACAGAGGGTCCGTCTGTCCATTTGTGCCCGGTTATAGGCACCTTCAGGTAAGTCTGCTGTTTGTTGTCACATTTTGGTCAGGTCAGGGAAGAGTGTTTCCGTCATCTTGCAGAAAAATGGATGTAGAAGACAGCATGTCTGTGTTGCCTGGGTTCCTTGGGCATGGGTCATGAATGGCTTTCCTGTGGTTCCAGTCCTGTTCACCTGCTGTGTATGGATTTCAGTAACAGATATTTCTCTCTTGTAGTTGTTGTGCTGTTAGTGGTGGCCATGTCCTCATGACCGAGGTTGCTGTTCTAATGGAGGGGCCTGTGTCTTGTTCTGGAGGGGCTTTTGCCCGTGTCCTCACCTGGCCAGCATGGAATGATGTGTGTTGTGCTTGTGATGCCGCAGTGTCACCTGATGGTGTGGCTTCCTAGAGAAGGGAAGCTGCGACTGTGTGTGCTCATCCACATGTATCTGTGTAGGTTCCTGTGGGCAGCTGACATGTGTCCCATAGGACCTGTGAGCACAGTGTTGTTTGTGAGTGAATAGTGTCCTTTGTTATGTTGTCAGTGTCCACATGAGTGTACACACACACACACACACACACACACACACACACACAGAGAATTGGGTGTGTGTGCTTTCTCTTGGAGCGTGACAAGGTCCTATTGTGTTGGAACTCATGTCAGCATTGGCTGCCACACATTGTTTTTGTCAGGTTCCTGTTATTCTGAGCCTGCTATGTCTTTTTAGGGCTGTCTACCTGCCTACTTACCTGCTGTTTCCATGTATGTCTTCCACTGTTTCAATTTGTGTCAGGGTCAGCCCTGGGAGTTTTGTGTTTGTGTGGCCCAGGATCTGTGGATTGTATGTCCCCTGTCACCCTAGAGAAGTGGATGGAGTCTTTTGGTGCTGTTCTTGGGTCTGCATGTCCCCGTTGGCAAGTGTGTTGTTGGAGGCATGCATGGCATTGCACAGAGGGTCCGTCTGTCCATTTGTGCCCGGTTATAGGCACCTTCAGGTAAGTCTGCTG